AAACTGAACCGAAACTAAGCTAAACCCGATGGGAACGCACGCACACACATTTGGTATCCATTACAAATGCTGCGACGGGGCATCTGTCAATCAGAAAATCAAATGAAAAACATAACTCAGAGAACCGCGAAGCCTCCAGCTTTGATAAATGACAATCTGAAGTGGAACTTACATTTGCTTAGATTACACAGAAAAAAGAAGAATAGAAGATTGAAGTAGAAGTGAGAAACAAACATAGAAATATGTTTGGGAAAGTGTTTTGTTCTGTGTGAAAGTTTTCAAAACGAAGAGCCAAAGAAAGTTGTATGATAATTGCCCAAAGGTCGTGAATCTCTCGGACTCTCCGGCGATTATGCAATGTTTATGCGTGCTATACAAATCTGCGACAATGAAACAACGTTGAAGCTGCCCAAAAGAAAAATATGAAAATATTGTGTACTCATCCAAATGCCCTTTCAGTTTCGAGAGCAACCAAATGCTTTGTTGCGGGTTGTTGCGCTTGGGAATTTCCCCAATTCCAATTCCAATCCCAATTCCCAATTCCAGCTGGGAATCAGCAGCATCCAGCAGTTGATCGGGCGCCCAGCTCACCTAGAGAGAGAGAGATCTCTATCTTGCAGCTCCAGAGCGTGCTGGGCATAAAAGAAACTACTTTGGCCAGCTTTTTGAGCTTTGAGCTCTCCAGAGATCTTCGAATCTGAAACTCTGGCTTATTACAAATTCTAATCACATGCAATCACCGATCACCGTTTCTTTTCGTTTCGATTCCTCTTTATTTTCATTCCACTCTTCGAATGCTATCGAAGGTGTGAGGGGGGAGCGGGCGGGGGGGGGGGGGTGGAGTCGTACATTGGCCTGGTACCGAGTCGATGGGGCTGTCGCTTATCGATTAATCATCAAATTAAAAATTACTAAGCCCAAAGCGTGGAGCGTGGCCGAAAACAGCATAGCCACAGCTTCTCCATAAATCCCCTCCCGCCTTTGGGGGGTTGGGGGGGACAGCTACCTATAAGTACGCACATCACATTGCTCTTTGCCTGGCTTGTGTTTTTTTTTTTTTTTGGCACTTAACCCTACCAATTTAAACAATATATAGAATTTCATGGCTAAAACCGCACTCATTTCGATTTGCTTTTGAACTTAATTTTTGGCCAAAATTAGCAATTGTTTGGCTAGTGGGACGAGAGGAAATGCTATGTAGAAAAACTTCAAGCAAAAAAAAAGAAACAATAATGCATAGAAAGTTAAGAATAATAATAACAAATTAAGGAACGTTGCAAGTTAGAAGAGTTAGCAGAGCTCTTAAGTATTTCAAGGTCAATGGAACACAATTGAGAGCAAAGTTCTGTTGAAGAAAAACGGCCGTTTACTGTTCAAATGTCAGCCCAGATCTTATATATATATTTATAGAATTATTTACGATAATTGCTGTGAAATTCCAGCGAAACCAAACAAAAGTAATTGAACGATATGTGTTACATCAACGAGCCCAATGCGATATAATATACCATATATAGATAGAGTATACATATATGTACATATAATAATAAAGTCGTAAATTCATTTAAATATGGCCAAAGGGAAATGAAACACATGCAAATATTGTGTGACAAATGAACAATTTTCTCGAGTACAAAATATGCCCATAAATAACACTTTGAAGCGCCGCCTAGCGGTCAATTGATGCACACGCTGTAACGGTTACAAAGTTCAATCGATATCAATCGGCGTGCCGCATTTTCATTGGGCAAATTAATTTAATGCTCAGTAAGAGATTTTCCAATGCTTATCACAAATTTGTCATCAAGTCGCTGTAATGCGATCACAGCTACACGAGGCATACACACGCACGCACACATATGTACATATGCACACAACCACATGGAGTCGAAGTTGGAGTCGTAGAGCAGTCGCCACATGCTGCTGCTCATAATGAAGTTGAGCGAAGCTTAAAGATAATGATCAAAAAGACCACGCGACGCGACGCCAAGACAATTAAAAGACAAACGAAAGAATTGCAAGCGCCGCCGCGTCGCAGTCGCCACTCTCTGCTCAATTGGCGCTGGCCGCTCTGCCGCTCTGCCGATCGGCCGATCGGCCGCTCAGCTGCTTGTCAAGCAAGTTGCGTCCAAGTCGGCTGCGCAGACGTATCGTATCTGCGGCACATTCAGTTTACTTTTGGCGCTCGTCGCGTACACAACGTAGCGGGCACTCAATAGAAGACGGCAGAAGAAACGTTCATATGTAGGTGTAAACTTGACTTTGACTCTCACGCTCTCCCACACCGTAAAGTGCTATAGTGTGTGCATGTGTGCCTGTGTGTGTGTGCATGTGGTTGCGTTCATTCGTACGATCGCTCGCTTGCAGGCTGACCGTGAAGTTTGTTCTTTTTGCATGTTTATAAGCTGAGTAACTGTAACTGTGCTTTGTTATTTGTTTTGTTATTGCCGCCTCGCACTCTCGCCAAGTTCATTCACGTTCATTCACGTTTCATCATCGCTTACCGTCCGTCTAATTAAATGTAATGCAACGCAAATATCGAAATCGAGTTTAAAGCTAATTGCAAACTTTACAATTTGCAAACATTAATTTTTCTCTTTATTTTTATTTTTTTCGGCATTTCGAGTTCATATCCATTCATATCCATTTCCGTTTAGCTTCGCTGTGCATTGGAGCGCAATAATTAATTGCATTTGTTGTTGTTGTTGTTGTTGTTGTTTCTTTGGCTGCAATGCAAATTGTTCAAAACACTTGAAATGATCTCTGATGATTGCTAATGCTTTTCAAGAAAGTGAAATCTCGCTCGAAGAAAAAAATGGTTAATACAATAATTATAATGCATAATAATTATGTTAATTTTAATAATCGTTAACACAGTTTATTTGGTAACAAAAATATATTAAACAAAAAAACAAAAAACAAAAAAACCTTTAAAAGTGCAAACAAAAAGCAAACTGTTTAAATATTTTCTCAACAAAGAGACAAAAATAAAAATTAATAAATAAATAATGTGTGCAAAATTTATGCAAAAACGAAAGCTTCGAGCGCTAAGCAATAGCTTTTAGAAAGGTATGTAGCCCAAAGAAGAAGAAGAAGAACGAAGAATTTGAAAAAAAAAATTAACTTCAATTTTATCTGGAAGTTAAATGTTGCTGGTTGCACTTTTATTATATTAATTGCAAATATGCTGAATTATGCATGTTTAAATCACATTTAAATTGTTATTTTCCATTTTGGCCTAAAATTAAAGCTTTGTCTAGCTCGAGTAGTGCATATTTTCAACTCTCTTTTCTGTGTATCCCTATAATCATGTTTAATAGTGGCAACTCGAGCGTTCCTTTTATTTGCCTATTGTTGTTTTTCTAGTCTTCTTTTGACTTTTCATTGTTGTGCCACTGACTTCCTCTGTGGCATTTCCTTAATCTTTAGCCTACTTTGTTGTTGTTCTCCTCTCGCAACGCACACACACACACACTCTCTCTTTAATGACAAACAACCTTTCACACTTTCCGTCTGCCACTGTACAAAAAAAAAGACGCCTTGTCATTCTGCAGCTCATTAGGTGGCAACCCTGCTCCGCACATTTGTGACACATTTCCATAGACACAATTCGCGTGTTCTTTTTTCAAACAAAGCTTTCAAATTTGTATGCCATTGGCAAATATTTGCTGGCCAAAAATTGAACTACTTTCGTTAAGCGGCGAATGGAATTAACATACATACATATGTAGTATATGTATACATACTTATCACACAACAATGCCCCGTCCCCCTTCCACTTACCACCTGCCACGCCAGGTTTTTTTGATATTTGCTGTCAAATGCAGTCGGTTGCCTTATAAAACGCATCATAAACATTTACCTACTTAGCCGACAGTCGCCCGTTGCCAGACTTGAGTTTGCTTTCATTCAAATATTTGCATTCAAATGTGCACAAATTGTCACAGTGGGCGTGACGAAAGGGGCGTATGCTTTTGTATGCAACTCCAGCAGTCGAAAAACAAAGAGTAAATAAATAAAAATGTTGCAGTTCGCATAACCCAGCTGCGGCATACGCTGTTTTGCTTGGCATAACAGCTGGTGAAAAAAAACTGTGACCGATCTAAAACTGTGACTGATCCAAAACTGTGACTGATACATACCCCAATATGCGCTGATATATTCGAAATTTTTGAGAATTTCAAGCTTGCGTTTCATCCGAATGTGAACTCAAAAGAAGTTTGCAGAAAACCAATACGCTCCTTGTCGCTTTATGAGCAGAGTATAAGACAAAAAAAAATAAGAAACAAAATTGAAAAAGAGGCCGCAGCAGCAACAAAATAGTTGAAATTCGCTCGAAACCTAAACATTTTTATGATTCGCCTTTTTATTATATGTTTGTCTGTTTGTAATTTTTCGCGTTTGTGACAAGAATTTGCAAATGTCAACGAAAATTGCGAGCTTCACATTAAAAAAAAAAAAAAACAGAATTCGGCAAAAAGGGCTGAAGTGTTGAGAAAGAAAGAGAGGGAGGGAGGGGGATAGAGTTATGAAGAGAGAGGGGAGTAGAGATAAGAGTGGAAATTCCAATGCCCCAAAACGCGAACCAATTGAAATTGTTTTATAAGACCATGTTTTTATTTTTATCTCTTTTTTTTCTTTGTTTTTTTGTTTAATTTTTGGGGCATTTTGTGTTTGGCATTTTTAAACAGGCCGTTACAGCTGGAGTTGCGACATCAGGATTCCGGCGTAACGGATCCGATCGAATCGGTATTACTTCAAAGTGAAAACGATAATTGATTTAATGAGCAAATATGTGAACATTTCGCCGTGAGTTATAATTTGCGATTTTGTGAGCACAAATAACTAAAATTAAACAAAACCCCCGTAACATATTTAACTCTTTGGCAAATCAATTTAGCTTAAAAACTTTCATAAACAAATATTTACGATTTACGTAGAACAATTTCGCTAAGAAATTCATAGATTCATTCGAGAACTAAAACAACTTTAACTTCAAGTTAAATGTGAGAAAAGTGCATTTTTTTATTGTATTTTTCTACAAATTAACCTTGCTGTCAACTGCAGATCTTATATTTGAATACAATTTGCCATGAGTTATTCCCATTCTTATGTAACTTAACTAAGGGGGGATTTATATTTTTTGTTAATGACATTTTCGCTTGTATTACAAAACAGAATGAAAGAAAATATAAATAACGAGAAGCGCACAGCCAGGGTCCCCGCTTTTCAGACACCTGTTGATAGTTACTTTTAGTCAGTTGCAATATTTGTTTATAAATCAAAAAAATATGTGGCTGTAATTCCGTGTTATAAGCCACATTTATTGGCTCTTATTTAACAATTGTAGAGTGTTGCAGCTGTATAAATAGAGAGTATTTCACAGCTATTTAAAGCTGTGATTAGGCTGATTAGACTTGTCGTGGCTATTTACGACGATGTCTTCATATTGATAGCGTCCGATTTATTAGATACTCTGTACTTTAGAGTTCGTGCCGATGGGCCACAAGAAGGTGATGGAAGCATTTGCTTGATGTCATCGCCGAAACGAACAAGTTTTGATTTTTTATTGTGGCTTTCTTTCATTTGTTGTGTGAAGTCATAATGAACCGAAATGAACGGCGGTTTCTCCAACTAATTAGACCATAAAGCAGCCGACCTGCCTGGCCGAACTAATTCGCTCAGATAAGCCACAACAAAGGTCACGCTTTAATTGATAAGAAAACACAATGCTGTGTCTTTTGGGAAAATGGTTTTCCGAGCCGAGCCGTCGGCTACCGTAGGTAAATGAAACGCTTCGAGAGTCACTCAAATGGAAATCCACATCGGCAACAATGACAGAACCCAATGTAATGTAAAAGAAGCAACAAGAACCCAACTGAACTAAAATGAACTTGAAGTGCCAGCTGTGCCCCGATAAAGATCACACCCCAGCGTCGACGGCGAGTCGTCGAGTCACAGGTGGAAGTTCCTGCTCCGATCTCAAAGAAGAAAGAAAGAAAAAACGAACAAAATTGAGAATCATGCCACAATTGAGTGCACTTTGCATTAAACTGGAAACAAGTTGATGTTATTTAAATGCCAGTTACCCTGTAAACCCAATTTCAGGTTATATACAACAAAAATATTCTACTTAGATGGGAATTTTGAGAATTTGTATACCCGAGCATAAGATGTGGTACTTTCAATTTCTTGTTAAGAATTCTTATGCCTCGCAGACTGCACTAATTCGCATACAATTAACATACCCAAACAGCATGCCTTGCTTACAGGGTATTCATAGAAAAACTTTTAATAGTTTTGAACCTTTTCGAGGCACTTAAATTGCGCAGCGAAGCGTGCTCTCACCAACTCGGTTTCCAACACTTCCCTCTAACCTCTGCTCCTCAACACTCAGCTGCCAGCTACGCCCTTTTTCAACACTGCCCCAGAAGAAGAAGGAAGAATGTGAATGGAACTGGGACTGCGACTGCGACTGCGACTGGGAATGACAATGGGAATAGGAATGGGCCGGAGAGAGTAATTAACCCATGTTAGCCGTTTGTTCTGCCGGCTGCCTTTTGCAAACATTTAATTGTTCCGATTGCCGTTTAATTGTTCGATCTGCAATTTTTGAAATACCAAACTGAACAAAATACGTTGACCGGAGGCAACGTTTTCAGCGTGTCTAGATCAAAAAGTTCTGCCGCCGGTGCTACGGTTCTTGACATATTCAAAGCATTCCATACCATTTCATTTAACTCAACTCCACGCGAGTTATTAAAAGCCATCAACATCATCATTATCCGCGACTCTAAAGCCAACATAAAAAGCGATCTTCGTGTTATGTAAGCCCAGCTTAAAGAGCGCTCCACAAATGTCACACTTTGGCGGAGAGTCGGCTTTAAAAGCTACTGCACGGCAAACTTTGGTCCGAGAGTTGACCAATTAGTTGCTTCCGTAATTTCTTGGTATTATTTTAATTAGTTTTCTTTGGTTTTTATATATTTTTTTCGGCTGGCTTTTTACTTATTTAAATTGCGTGCGCTCAACGACAAGTTTTATGTGCCGCCCCAAAGATTTATTTGTTTTTATTTTATTTTGATAACGATAAACAAGCATAATTTATGGACAATGCATTTTTAGATGCGATCGTAATTCCAATGAATTATTTCGACTGAGGCTGCATTTTGTGGGACTTAGAGGCCGAATATTGTTGAATTTTGTTTCGATGTTAGTTTTCACTTCCTGCTTCAAAAAAAAAAAGAAAGAAAACTCATCATAAAATTTAGAGTAGACATTTTGCAATATTCCTTTTTGCGAAATTGCCTCGTAAATAGCGTTGAAATGTTCCTTGAAAGGTTCTCCCGCTCTCACCTGTCCGCCCGCCTGACTATCTCACAAATAATTCACAACGCGCTTACTGCCCCTCCCCCAAACTGCCGCTCTCCCCTCGCTCTGGGGCCGTTGCCAATGGCAAAAATGCGTTTAAGTCAAGTTGCCAAGAGCCGAAAGCCGCCACCGACGCCGCCGCTGGGTGCGTGTGTGCAACGTGTGTGGCAGCTGCTGCGGCGAGAGGCCGACATTTACCTGCCGCGTCGCCCGATCGCCCGCGTTCACAATAGTCGCAGGTCTGGCACTTTAGTTCGATATTTATGCAACGGCACACACTTCAGTTCTGGTTGCCCTCCCTCTCTGTCTGTCTCTCTCTCTCTCTCTCTCTCTCTCTCTCTCTCTCTCTGTTGCTCTCTCCATCAGCTGCAATTTAAGCTCACATTTTTCTTGGCAACACATTTTCCTCGCCATATGCATAAGCAGTTTTTCCAGCTACCCTTCTGTTGTGTCCCCCCGGGCGCTTCCTCTGCTCTCGCTCAGCGCATTGTTTGCAACACTTGGCGCTTGCCACATAACAACAGCAGCAACAGAAGTTGCAACTGCTGCTGCAACATATGCAACAGCAGCAGCCGAAGCAGCAGCGTCCGCTATGCAGCGTTGCATGACACATTAAATGCAAAACGGGCAGCGTGCAACACAAACTGAGTGAGACAACAACAACGCGAGTGGTAGACGGAACGGGGGGGACTCAAGAAGGCAAGAAAAGACCTGAAACATTTTGTTGCCCACCGCCAAGAAGTCGGCCTCAGTGTCGGGGTTTAAGCAGCGGCTTCTACTGCTGCTGCTGCTGCTGCTGCAGTTGCTTCTTATTCGCCTGCGTTGCTCTTATTAAATAAAAGAAATGGTCTGGAATTTTTCATATGCTCTATAAGTGCATAAGGTAATCCTTGGGTATATCAGACTTGATACTGAATTAACTACATCCAGCTAGACTTTATCTACATACCTTGTTCAGGTGATTAAATATGATATGGATACGTGAATATGTGTATGAAATATTTTATAAGTATTGTTTAGACTTTAAAGAATACTTTCTCCTGAAAGTTAGTATTTTATTTATTTATAGACTTTATTCTAGTTCCAATCCTGATCCGTTTAACCTTAATTTCTTCTTTGATCGAATGTAAGCAAGTTCCCTCAGACTCTTCATCTAGTTTTAACAGGGTATTCTATAACGACTACAGTCTTAAGGTTTTGTATATTTTCACAAGAGGAAGAAGCGTCTGTTTTTGTAGCAGCTGTTCGGCTTATGTTGAGCTATTGCCACGCCGTTGTTTCTTGTCTTATGACAATATAATCATACGAGAAGAGCACACACAGGTAAAGTCGTTCGTTTTTGGCATAATGCGTAGCAATTATCGGCTAGAATTTGTTATGGTGCTTCGCTCTTAACACTAATCAAGCGGAAAATGCATTCAGCTATGTAGTTTGAGCTTATTAATATGCATTAAATTATATTCCGACAAGTTGTCTTCGCTTGCGTGTTGCTGGTGTTGAGAGATATCAAAAGGCTGCCCCAGGCAGTTGATGCCAAGCGCCCAAGCTGCCAAGCTCCCATACTACCATCTATCCATCAAACGACGCATTGAACACTTTAAATAATTGCACATTGTGGCTGAGGCTTTAATAAAATAATTAAAATGAAATATGCTACGTTCGCCATAGCTCCAACCCGAACAATTGCAAAGATCAGGGGCTCGCGAGCGGGCGATGATAAAAAACATCAGCAAACCACGAAGAATCAGCGCAGAATGCTAGCCATGTTAAAAAATGTGCGGGCTACCAATCTACGCATTTTTTAAGCCATTTTATTTTCTGTTTCTTTTGTTTTTTTTCGCATCTCTCGACGTCAAAGGAAGACCGACAAGTAAAATGCGAGCGATAAAATGTTTTAAAGAAATTGCTGAAAACGAGCAAAAAAAAAAAAGAAAAATAAAATATTAATTTCAATTATTTACGTACGGTAAGCAGCACGCAAGCCGATTTTCCAGCGATTCCCACGTTGAGAATCGCCGAGAGGGGCGCATGGTAAGTGGCATTTTGTGCGCTAAATGCGCGCAATTTGTTACAGGATTTTTATAGCTAAACAGAAGGGAGCACATGGCATGGAACTCTCTGTAAGCTGTGTGAAACTGTGGGAACAACTATGCTATGCAATTTATAATTATCAGCGGTAGGTGGCGCTGCGGTGCAAAGTCTTATGCAATCGTCGCATGTTGATAACAGCGGAAGTTATTAGAGCAAGCTTCGAGTTATGCGAGCCAGTTCCAAAGAACTTTAAAGCGTAGCGCAGCGTTCTTGGCATTGAAATTCCCAACCCGGCGGTCGCTTTTGTTTCACTCGCTTCTAATTAAAGACGACACTTCGGCATGTACTCGAAAGCGACTCGTCCGGCGACAGCACGGAAATGCCTCGCTTCAAGCCTTGAAGAATCGTTTTGATATATGGAGTACCAAGAATTATATTATTTCCAGTTGATTGTAGTGCCAGTCGCCGGTCACTTTATACATACTAGTATGTAGTACGAAAATAACTACTTACGCATGCTTTGCTCGGGCCAACTCAACTTCAACAGTTTAACTTGATGCCAGTTCAATTCTTCAATAAATCCCATTGACCATTCAACCTGGCAACTCTTAACCTTTCACACATCGATCGCTCGCTGGAGCCCCTGAAGATTACAATTAAATTTGGCCAGAGCTCGCAGCGGGTTGCCAAATGTGGAAAATAAAAAGATATATACATATGTAAGCCGAAACTGTGCAGAAATGAACTTCAGCACCGCGGTAGAACGGTGTTATTTAATTGCCAAAATGCCAGGCAAACGCAATCTGAACAGATTACAAATTATAAAATTGTGGCAGGTGTCCCGCACTAGCCAAGCCAGCGAAGCGAGCCGCCAAGTCGACTTTTTGAGCCTACATTAAACATCCATTAGATAAGAATCAATGGCCAACACGATATGCATAATAAAGCGCGGTTTCGGCCAAACAAAAAGCCAAACAAGCTGCCAAATATCTAAACACTAACTAAGAGGGGCGCCTCATGTTACACTTGAGAGTTGAAGATTAATTGTTGCTGCCTGTCGTAGGCCCACGACTAGCGGACAGAGTTTAAAAGTTCGTTTGGGGTTGAGAGTTCAGGCTCAGGGAATACTCTATCTGCGGCTAATTTGATTAATTAAGCGTGGTATTAAAATTGTTAATCGCATTGAATGGCGAGCCCAAAGGGCTTTTTGGATTAATAATCACAATTATTATTAAATATTATGTGGCCATAATAAAAGCTAATTAGCTGCCGCTGTGCCTAATTGCTGGGAAATGTTCTGCCGCCCTATGCGATTCTCATGGGCCGTTCTGCCAGTCTGCTGCTGCTGCTGTGTCATAAACACCTATGACATGACCAAAAGTATACGCTTTAATCATATGACTAACTGGACGCATGACGTTGTTTAATCAATAGACTTTTTGTCAGCCGCTGCTTGAATCACCTCGACGAGAGGGAGATAGGCTTACATAGGTTTGTTAATATATATGTACATATATGAGGCATGCCCGACTCTCGATGACCGAATATTTATTTTGGCTTCACTTATCGAACGGCGCTTGCTGATTAATAAAATGCTGACGATAGTTGTGCTTTTCTTGAGGTCTCTGCCGAGACTGAAATCTGTAAAAATACACGTTTTAAACACGGGCAAACACTTCTAGGTCTTTTCCGCCCATCGAGTGACGCCCTTGAGCCCTTTGGCTCTGCATTTACATTAAACATTCACAAGCTTCTTTTTTTTTAACCACATTTTTTTGTACTTTAATTTTTGCATATGCGGCTTAAAAATAATATGTACATGGTTTGGATTAAACAACGTCGCGCCGTGGCTTGTGCGACGCTTACAAATGCGAGAGTTCATTAACACTGCAGAAAGAACAGAACCTACAGCTCCCAGCAAAAAAAAAAAAAATAAGAAAAATTAAATAATTTTCAACTTACAAAAAAAAAAATAAATTAAACCACGCAGCGGTTTTCATTTAAATGAAAGGTAGCCTCGCATTTAGTTTATTCTCGCTTCTTGTTTTGGTTTCATTAAAAATGCAAATTTTACAGCATTTCTTTGATGTTGTTGATATGTGGGCGGTTTTCTATTTGACGAAATCGAATTTCTTAATTCAATTTCATGCCAAACATAGAGAAATTGCTGAATAAATTTAAACGCTCGTTAGAAACTTGATTTGTGGCCCGAACAACGTTAGATAAATATTTCAGACTCGCAATTAATTAAGGTTTCTGGCCTGGGCTCAACTCCCCCTAACGAATGACCCCAATATGCAAGGCGACCGCAAAAATCTGTCAACCTGCACTGCCAACCTGCTGTTGGCCAAATACTTGAGGGCTTTTGTTTTTGTTTTGGTAAACAACTCTTTCTATTCTTCTTGATTGGCGAGAAACTTTCGCTTTTAGCTTTTTCGCTGCCGAATTGAAAACCTTTGTTGTCCATAATTTGTTTATCCGAATATATATCTGGTATCTCTGACATTATTATAACTACTTATTATTATTACGAATATTACAATTGTTGTTAGAGACGTTTTGTCAACCACAACAATTTTCAGCTCTTGTGCTCTTGTGGTTTTTAATTGCTCCACGCCGAAAATAGTTGGGTTAGACGTAAGATCCGCCTTAACTCTGGGTTAGCGCATAATGACAACTGTTTCGCTTTTTTTTTTTGGGCGAAAGTTTTCGGCTTTGTTCGCTTTTTTTTCTTATGCATAATTATAGTCTTGTAGGAGATTGCTGTTTAAACAGTTTCTTTTATTCTTTTGCACAAATTCTACATTCACAGCTTACTACTCGAACTCAGTTTACCTGTAATAAGAATACCTTGTGAAATACCATCCTGATGCTGTTCGAACCTATCCAATTTGTTTATATTCCTATTTATAAATAAAACCAATTCCTTTCGCCATTATATGGTTAAAAGACACATTTAAATTTTGAGAAATACTTGAAACTTTCTGTATATCATATGGAATCGATAACAAATCGATAAACCTGCTTATCGATAAATGCACATGTTATTAAATCGAATTAAAATGAATACATTTTAGTAGCATATTTTCTGATATTTAATTCATTCTGAGTGAATATAATACTAATAAATAGTTTTAGATTAATATCTATATCAACCTATCGAGTTATCGATAAATGTGTTTCCCCTATGATCAGCCACAGCCCCCTCCTCACCCCTTACACATTATTATTGTTATCTCCATATGTTTGCTCCTCGTGTACTTTGCTAACCAATTCCTTTTCCCCTCTCTCTGCCGTTGCCTTTTACAGATCTTGGTACCCTTAACAACCACAACAGCAACAACATTATCAGCACAGTTAACAACACAACAGCAACAATAGCAACAACAGCAACTGGAATCAGCAGCAAAAAGACTCTGGTGGCCACAGCAACGGCAACGGCAACGGCAACAACGACAAAGACTTTAAATTCGACTCCGACTTCGACCCCGAGTTCCACTTCGACCCCGACTCTTAGCCAGAGTTTGCAGCAGAAGCACAACAACAACAAAATGGAGCTGCTGAGCAGCCCAGCAATAGCAACAACAGCAACAGCAACAACAACAGCAACGACTACAAAGCAGCTGCTGGCGCAGGATTATCTGAGCTACGCCTCCCCACCGACCTATTCGCGTCTGCCGCCCGATGGCCATGAGTTTCCGCCCAACTTCAGTGAGCCGCTGATTATGCATCCCCAATCGCATGCCACGCGCCTCAAAGCGGAGCTAAGCTTCGAGCACAATAACAACAACAACAACAACAACGACAGCAACAACAAACTGGAGGCTGCACCGCCCCTGCCCAAAACGGGGCCACCGCCCACAGTGCCGCGCAAGATGTATCGCCAGGATCTGGTCATCAATGTGGAGGATGCGCGTCAAGCTGCACGCGCCACAGAGACGCCAACAAAATTGGCAGCAACGCCATCTAGCGGCGGCGTACGTGATTACCAACGTTCCTTGAGCGCGAGTGCGCCACGCAAATCCAGCGATTGGCGCAAAGACGAAAAATCGGAGAAATCCGTACGCGACAAAATTGCCATGTTCTCATCCAGCAACGAACTGGACACCATTGCGCCGCCCACACCCAGCTCTAGCGCCAACCTCTCCAACGCTACCTCCACCTTCTCCCGCAAGCCGCTCAACATGAGCAGCGAGAATTTGTTGGAGGCCGCCTCCTCGACGCCACCACCGTCTCTGAAGACACGCGCCATGAGCGTGGAGAACCTGAACGATGCACAGCGTCAATACCAGCTGGCCAAGCAGCTGCCGCAGCTGCACGTGGCCGATTCCATGTACTCGCTGCACACACTGACCATGCCCAACAACAGCAGCAGCGGCAGCAGCAGCAGCAATAGCTACAGTTACAATTATGCCTCGCTGCCGCGACGCAGCCATGGAGGAGTTGCCTCAGCTGTGGAGCGCCGCATCAGCTTCTCGGGTGAGGGCGATGCGGCCACGCGCAAGGCGGCCATCACCAATATACTGGAGCAGCGGCGTCGCAGTCTCTCCAAGCTGCGCGGCCTAGTCATACCGGAGCGGCCGCAGCTGCTGGAGCCCATACTGGATTTGCCCGAGATCAAGAGCCAGGTGAAGGCGGCCAGCGGTGAGGACTCCACGGACAGTGGCCTGGGCGAGACACGCCCACTCAGACACAACATCAACAACAACAGCAGCAGCGGCGGCAACAGCAGCAGCAACAACAACAACAACATAAGCAACTATCGCAGCATATTTGCGACTGTTCAGCGTCGTCCGCTGGAGTCGCAGCTGTCGCAACCACCCGCAAAGCCGCCACGCACTTCGCTTGCCAGCGCCCTAAGCATGCCCAGCAGGATTAATCTTTGCCAGCAACAGCCGCAGCAGCAGCAGCCGTTTTTGTTGGACCAGGAGAGCGACACAGATTCGGTGTTCTCGAGCACGGCGCGTGTTCCCACGCCGCCAGAGAAGTTTGCGCTGACGCGCACGCTCAGCTCGGAGACAAACACTTCGATAGCCAGCTCAAACACATCCACGCTGACGTCGGGCTCCTCGGCCGGCTCCCAGGCCAGCTGCAGCTCTCTGGGCAGCACGCCCACAGTGGACCTAACGCGACGCGTGCTCAAGTGCCAGCTAAATGGTAGCATCAGTAGCAACAGCACTGAGCTGGCCTTAAGCAATCGCAAGAGCATCCTGGCGTCGGCCAAGTGCCGCAGCGCCAAGAGCCGCGGCCAGGACAACAGCAACGACAATGACAACGACAGCACCGATGGCGAGGCCTGCGTCCTGAACGGGCGTCGCCTCAAGTCCAGCTACAAGCAGCAGCAGCAGCAGCAGCAACTACAACAGCAGCAGCAGCAGCAACTACAACAGCAGCAGCAGCAACAACAACAACATCATCTGCTGGCCAAGCAGCTGGTGGTGGACAAGCTGATAAATGTGGCTGCCTATGTGGAGCTCACTTCGGATACGGACGACAGCAGCCGGCGCTCGGATACGCCGGCCAAGATCAGTGCCATGTTCATCGATGAGGAGCGCAAGGCTAGCTTCAAGGCAGATCCCACGCAGCAGGCCAAGCTGCGCGTGGTGCAGGCCAAGCCCGTGATCAGCCCGATGCCACAGCGCACACAGACACCAAAGCGGGAGCTGACACTGGGCACCACCAAGTCGCAGACCACAGCCGAGCTGCGCGAGAAATTTGAGCGCAGTGCAGCAGCAGCTGCTGCGCCTCAAGTTCCGCTGCCCATGCACAAGGCGCTTGCCACAGTTGTTGCCACGAAGCCGCATCACGAACGCTTCAGTTCCCTAGACTCGCTGGCCTCCAGCTCGTCGGGCGTTAGCTCCACAACACAGAATGTGAGCACCACACAGGAGACGGCCACCGAGTTTGGCAGCTTCTCATCGCTGGGCAGCAATCAGAGTTTGATTACCGCACAAGATGTGCAACAGATTGTCGAGGAGGCCGATCCGCCGCTCAAGACGCCCGAGGCCTTTATCATAGTGCTGCAGCGGGATACGCCGGAGAGCAGCATTGGCATCACCCTGGCCGGTGGCTCCGACTACGAGGCTAAGGAGATAACCGTATGTCCTAAATATATATATAAATATCTATCGCATAAAACAGCTTTTAATGCTGCTTCTGCTGCTTTTATAGATCCACAAGATACTAAGCAACACTCCGGCTGCCAAGGACGGACGCCTGAAGAAGGGCGATCGCATTCTGGCCGTCAATGGCATGAGCATGCGCGGCCTGACCCATCGCGAATCGATCAGCGTACTAAAGGTGAGTTTCCCTGCATATTAAACTGCTTCCTTAGATTATCCTAAGCAATATTCCAATCCTCTCTCTTGTTAGACACCACGACCAGAGGTTGTCCTAGTGGTGACACGCTCCGAATCGTTGGTCATCAAACCGCTGAACAAGAAACGCTCCTCGCTGGGCTCGCTCAGTTCGCTGAATGAGAAGCCCACCGAGTTGGATTACGAACGCAAACGCAACTATCATAAGGCCTCACGCTCTCTCGATCTGGACCTGGACATTGTATCCAATGAGGGCGGCGGCAGCGCCACAGTGCCCAGCACACCGAGCACGCCCAGCACAGGCACCAGCAGCCCCCAGCAGCCGGCCAGCCTGTTGGACGAGGTGAACGGCAACGATGCGGAGGCCACCATTGCCACCATTCGAGCACGCCGCCAGCTCTCACGCGGCGATGCGGCCAAGCTGAGCACCAGTGAGCTGCTTGAGCGCGCAGCAGAGGCTCGTCATGCCATAGCAGCTGAGATTCGCGCGCAGGGTAAGTCCATAGCGCCACAGCAAGTCGAATATTTAGTTATAACTAATTTCCGTTTCCTGTTGCAGCTGAGGATGCTGCTGCCGGCGGCGGCGCACGCTGCGTAGAAATTGTCAAAGACAGCTGTGGACTGGGCTTCTCCATAGAGGGTGGCTTTGACTCGCCGCTAGGCAATCGCCCGCTGATCGTCAAGAAGGTTTTCATGGGTTAGTTGAATGCCATTTGTCTGGTGGCTCCGTCCTTAACTCCCATTCTCTATCGTAGGTGGTGCTGCCCAGAAGACCAATCAGGTGCGCAATGGCGATGAGATCCTCAGCATTAATGGTGCATCCACGGCGCGAATGACCCGTGTTGATGCCTGGAACTATATGAAACAGCTGCCGCTGGGTCCGGTCAAAATATCATTGGCCTAAAGTTGATAAGCTAATATGATAAATAATGATATAGAACGCGCCACAATTTCTTAGATATAAGCAAAAAGATATACACAAAAAACAAGTTGCGACGTTTTGTTTCTGCATTTAGAGAACGATCTATATACAGGTAATCGTAATCATATATATTTAAATAATTTAAAGTGCAATTGATATAAATTTTCTAATTTGCGTGGGGTGTTGCATTTACCACCGCCCAATCATTATTATTATTATTATTATTATCATTATTATTATCATTATTATTATTATTATATATATACAAACATATACGTTATATATCGATGAATGTACATAACTATCTTAACTAATTTACGTATTTAAATCTTGAAATCGATGCAACGAAATGGAAATTTTTGTAACAGTGGTATTTTCTTATACATTATATTGGTATACACACGATTTCCAATTGCACACCACACAAAAAAAAAATAAAATAAAAGTTAAAGAAATACACAATCAAATTATAACAATAATATTTTATATATTTTATGCCATAATTTATGCGGGAACGATATATAAATAATTATTTTATTATTTAAACAACTCTAAAATCAATGTTTACATTTACAAAAGTATTTGCTAAAAAAAAAATATATACATATATATATAATATAACATATTATGCAAATTATACAATATTCACACTTGACTTTTAACTATGGCCTTAAATTAAAACATCTTACAGTTAAACGTTGCCAGTTAAATCATATTAAAACAATTTAAAATCACCTTGCCTCAAAAGAAAGTGTTACAAAATCTAAAACTAAATTTTCGATTTCGTTTGCATCCTAAAAGTATGCAACCCTTTTTATACATTTACATAATTTGTTGACTTCCGATTGGAAAGCTTAAGAGCTGCAGCTGTTGTACTCTGTGCACAAAGTGAACAAGAGTATATTTGTTTTCATATTGTCCGTCCGACTGTCAATATATACGCCAATTACCGAGGCTTGCCTTGGAATATATATATATATATAAACATGAACCTGCAGCTTTTCACTAATCACGACTTCTAGAAACTCCTGCCAAGGCGTTGTCGATAGACAAAGCCGATATACTCTTTCAAGGAAGTATATTGTTTTTCTGCACTGTCCCTGCTTCCGTCCGTTTTTATCTACTTATTTTTGCCACTCCAGAAGCAAGACTTGTAGCTTGGAATACATAATTGTCGACATCCGTATCGAAAAGAGTGTTGGGAACTTTTGGGAAAATATTTCCCACTGCTCAAGAAAAGGAACTGCTAATAAATTCCCTTTAAGATTCGCCAAAATGGTTTATTTTCCACATCCGCTCTTTAAATTAAAAACACGCTCAATTCACGAAAGAAAATATGTATTTTTGAGAATTATTCAAATATTTATGCTACTATTTTCATTGAAAAAATGACGAAATAATTCAAGCGAGTTTTAGTCAGTTACTAAATAGTTAGTCGCACTTTAGGCAACAAAAACCTATTGAATTATTGTCCGATTGTTGCTAAGGCAGCTGACATACATACAGTAGCTATCATACATAGTTGGCAGTCTGAGCATAATAATGTTCCTACTTAGTATAAAAAAAAAGGTGTTGCACACGGATAGTTCCTAAAATACAGTGTTCCGATTCCATACTGTCCGAAACTATTTGAGTCTCTACCCAATTATCGGCCCTTGCTAACCGCCCATACCGTTCTAGGGTATAGAAAACAAAAATGGCCTTAGAATCAATTGAACTGTTGCAATAAAAGTCTCACAATTTATTTGTATCCTGATTTAAACTTATTTAAAATTATACAATCGTTTATGTAAATATGTATTTAATGTATTACATTTTAAAAATAGTAACGTCTTATAACTATAACTATACCCAAAAAATAATGGGTATGTGAAATTACTGTACAGCGTAAATTCGAATGGATTACACAGCTCCGTTTGCTGCTGCGGCCGTCTTTGGGCATTAGTCGATTGAATGTTATTTCTACTTAGAGATCTTTGGAGGGTTTCGGCGCTAGCTTGGGCAGCTGCAGCGTTCCCGAGCAGCCCAAAAGGCCCAAATGCTGCAGAGGTAACGGCGAGTTGGTAGCTCCAGCCTGTCCATTGGTACGTGGTTGACTACTGGCATTCTCGCCGCCCTCAAATATATCGCTGAGCAGCTCGTAAACGCGTCGCTTAAAGAACAGTTTCTGATGGAAGTTCATGTGCTTCATTTCGGGACGCAGGCCCTGCAGAAAGGCATCATCAAAGTCCATGACGGGTGGCTTTACATCGGCGGGCGTGTCTTCAGTGTCAGCGCCGACTTCGGCTGGCTATGGGTGACAGAGGGTGAGGTGATGGCAGCTGTAGTACATTAAGAAAGTTGATAATTTATTCACATGCTTACTTCGCTCGGTTTGGGTGCCTCGGTGACCGTGCGTCGCCGTTTTTTGGTCGGAAAGGGGCAGGTTTGGGGCACGGCATTCGGCTGCACCAAATCCTTCGGCTTCTGGTCGTCCTCATCGCTCAGCGGGTGCAACTCAGACTCGGGTTTATCCTGCGTTTGGCTGGCGACACTCTGCGCATGCTCCTCAGCCACCCACTCAGAGCTATCGGTGCTGTTCTCATTTTCGTGCTCATCGCTGCTCAGCGAGTGTTTTATATGGACCAGCGCGCCCACATGCTCCTCATCATCGTGCTCGTTGTCATCATACTCGTCGTTATCATCGCACCTGCGATTGTTGCTGTCACGTGACCGTCTGCCCTTCACTGGCACAGGCACGCCGGGCGTGATGTGCTTTTTGAGAAACTCAAGTTCCTCGCTGAGATAGTAGGGCTTGACGCGATTCGAGCCGCGTTGCACGTTGATGGATCGCGCAAAGCTGGTGCGGATATTCCTAAAGCGTTCCTTGCAATTATCAACTGTAAAATTGTGGAATTCGATTTATGCGAAATCTATAGAGCATGTTGCTGTGATGCGCGCCACTTACCGCTATCATTCATCTCCTTCGATATGTCCACCCAGGCCTGCTCCACATGAGATTTGCGCATGTACGCCGGATGCGAGCGATCGTACATGCAGGGATGCTGCTCCACCAAACGGCAGATCTTCGCGTTTATTGCGTGCAGCTCCGGTGTTATCGTCTTTGTGGTCAGTGCCGCCACATACAAGCGGCTTATACTTCTTTTGCTGGACTTGATGCTGCCGGTGCTGCGTCGTGTGTTCATTGTTGTTGTTGTTGCTGCTGCGGCTGTTGTTGATGTTGCTGCTGCTGATGTTGCCTCGTTCACTATAAAATAGCAAAAACAACAAATTATTCGAGTCGTCAACTGCGCAGCAACACAGTCCCAAGCAAAACTGCAACTTGGTTGCGTCCGTTTCCAGAGAAACTGTCAGCGACGCTTACGCGCTCTCTCGTCTCTCTCTCTCTGCACAAATACACAGACACAATTTACACACGCATGCCAAAACAAACCATTGCGCACAGGTGACAAGAGAAACGAATTCTAGTTGCTGCATGTCCACACGGAAAATGCTTCAGACATTTCTGTTGCCTGCAGGGCGCAACAGCTGTTTGGCGCGTTTTCTGTGGGATGCCAGCAATAATTACATTTATTGAAATTTGCCTGCGCTTGTGTTAGCTTGAGCTACGCCCGCCTACCTGCAATTTGTTATATCTGTTTATTGCTTTTTCCACTGGTTTTGCTAAGATTTGCAGTCGCTTTTGGTTGCCTTTTGTTGCTGTTGCTGCTGCTGCTGCTGCTGCTTCTGCTGTTGCTGTTGTCGTCGCTGCTGTTGCTGCCGCAGTGAAATTGCTGTTGTGTTGAGTTTCGTGCTCGCACACTATTACAATTTATTTGGGTTAACGGTTACTCTCGCGCTCTCTCTCTCTCTCTCTCTCACCAACTTACGGACGGTGTTGCTGTAAGGCGTTGATAAGAATATTGAAAATGCGACAGAAAATCCAACGTCAATGTGTTCATTTTTTTACAACGCTCAACCATAACTTGTTGAGTATATAAGTTATTAAATTCATATATTTTAGACTGCTAAACGCTAACAGAACCAAGTCAACCAGCATCTAAAATGAATCATATACATGTATACATATGTATGTACATATGCACGTATTGTTATTGTCGTAAACAGCTTGTTTGCCGGCAAAAAAACAACTCAATTGGTGCATAGGCGTCGACAGTATAAATAACAACGAGAAGGGGCCTGCTACATATTGTGCCGAACAACCCCCGAAATATCAGCAAATAACACGACGCTTATGGTCACGCACACATTCACAGCTACTCTCTCAGAGAAAGAGAGTGAGCGAGAGCAGAAGCATTGCCAGCTTTAAAGCAGCTGCTACAGCGAGTCGGTTATTAATAATACCGGCTGGCAATGATGTTTGATCGGTTGCATACAGTATGTCAATAAAGTGTTTTGACTAACGAAAAAAAACTAATTTTTTGGGTTTAGTTGAAAATAAATGTACCTAAAAGTGAGAATTTTTTTTCAATTCTAATTTATTTCGATTCTATATTTTTCCTAGAACTTAATGGCAAAAAGAATTGTTAAATAACATTACCCAAACATTTTATAAAATTAAAAAACTAAAAACATTCAAATTTTATGCTGTCAATAAAGTGTTTTTACACGAAACTTTATTACTAAATAACAATGTTAAAAAAACAGGAATATTTTTTTTTAATACTTTGTGTGGCTGCCATTAGCGTCACATACAGCCTGCAATCGCCGTTTCATTGAAACAATAAGGTTTTGTATGTATGTTTCTGGAATCTTCTGCCATTCTTCCAGTACAGCAGCTTTTAAATCAGTTTTTGATTTTGGACTCCGCTTTGCGACTTTTTTTTTCAAATATGACCACACATTTTCTATTGGATTCATATCTGGACTTTGTGGTGGAGTGTCTAACACCTTTCCACAGTTGTACAACAGCCAAACTCTTACCATATGAGCTTTATGCTTCGGGTCATTGTCCTGGTAAAATTTAAAAATTGGCTTATTGTCCTCATAGAATCCAAATTTCTGTGCACTACTGACGAGATGTGTCTGTAAAATGCTCAGATATTGTCTAGCATCCATGGTATTCTCAATGAAGGTCAAATCTCCTACACCCTTGCTCGAAATACACCCCCACACCATCACTGATAGTTTTCCGAATTTAACGGTTGGAATAATATTGCGGTTTTCCAACGCTGTTAGTGGCTTTCTCCAGACTCTGGATGGCCCATCGTTGTAGAATAGCATCATCTTGCTTTCGTCACAGAATATGACGTTACTCCAAAAATCGTTCGAACTATTTACATGGACTTGAGCGAACGATAGCCGCTTCAAAATATTCGCCGCCGATAGTAGAGGTTTTTTCCTGGCAACTCGTGATGTGTAGTCATTGGAATTCAGTAATTTTCGGACAGTTTCATGTGACACATCAACACCACTTTCTTCCTTGAACTCCTGAGCAATATCCCTAAGCGAAATTTGTGGATTTTTCTCAATTTTTCTCAGAATTTTTCGCTTATCTCTGTCAGAAATTTTGCAGGGTCGACCACATACTGGCTTTGCCTCTAGCCTATCTTCCTTATTGGCTCTGTTTAATATGTTGTATATCGTTGCTTTTGATAAATTAAACATATCAGCCAGTTCCGAGACTTGACGTCCCATCTGATGGTTATAATACACCAGCTGAGCGACTTCAAAAGTTGTTCTTTTTCCTGGCATTTTATTTTTCATAAAATTAAAGCAAAACGTTATAAATTGCAATAGAAAATGACAAGAAAAGTCGAAGACACAAGAGAAGCCAAAACGCATGGGCCCAAATCTAACGGGATCACCCAAAAGAGAACGGCAAAACAATTTACCGTAGCTGTAAAAACACTTTATTGACAGCATAAAATGTGAATGTTTTTAGTTTTTTAATTTTATAAAATGTTTGGGTAATGTTATTTAACAATTCTTTTTGCCATTAAGTTCTAGGAGAAATATAGAATCGAAATAAATTATAATTGAAAAAAAATTCTCACTTTTAGGTACATTTATTTTCAACTAAACCCAAAAAATTAGTTTTTTTTTGTTAGTAAAAACACTTTATTGACATACTGTATACTGTAGAAATTCTGTTGTACGTCGACACCCTGTAATGTTACAGACTAACAATATTCAGCAATATTCGCTTTATTTCTATCTGCTGCAATACTTTTGTGTCAATCGCCAATTCAATGTGAATAAATAAGATGTATAGATGTATTAAATTGCATATAATAGACGCGGATATGTATTAGAAGCTGCAAATAAAGCTTTGCTGCAAAAGGAAATTGCTATCGAAAGAAATCGGCGGCGGCGACGACAATAATGCAACCCTCTAGTTTGGCCTGCCAATTTAGTTTGCATCACATTCACAAATACCAACACAATCGTCTCTCTGGGCACTCTCGCGCTCTCTGACGGCATGTACACGAATGTGTGTGTGCGTGTATGTGTGTCATATTCGCAGCTGTGTCAGTTCGCTTTACGTACGACGCGTGTTGCTGTCGGACAAGTTTCTCGCCAGTTTTGAATTGAAGTAAAATAAATATAAAATCAACTCAAAGTGCTCGCTAGTGTGTGTGTTTAGTTGTTAAGCCATGTCTGCATTTAAATCAAATGCAAAACTGTGCCGCGCAATAGAGAATCAACCGATTCTATATGATCAAAGTCATGAACATTATAGAAAAAGACTACCATCAGAGAACTGCTGGGATTTGGTTGCCTCAGAGGTGGGAGAGTCGGGTAAGTAGTGTTGCAAAGTGAGCGTGCGCATTTGCGTTTATCGTTATCGTGTATCGCCACAGACAAGTGTTGTGTGGCGACTGTTAAAAGTAAGTTGGCAGTACTCAAAGTGTTGCTAATTGCCAAATTGCACGTGCGCATTCAAATTGGATTTAACTAATTGGAACTTTAAAATTTACGTTAAATTATTTATGGTAATTAAATTTGATATTTCTTATTAAGGATTTTAGGTAAATATTGGTTATAAATTCAATATCAAATATCAAATATAATTAGGACTCCTTGTAGCTTTATTTAAGAGCATGTTTTTATTTTTAAATTCATATTTTTAACTTTATTAATAGATTTAATCGTAAATGAAACTTCAACCGAATTACTACTAATTTAGTAACGTCAAAAAATCAAACGAGCTTAAATCGATAAATTTATATGTTTTATCGAAACTTACTTTTATTGCCATTTTTTATCGTCAAATTTAGAATTTGACTACACTGTACTTTTTCACCTGACATTTCAAAAGGACAGCAAAATTTTCAACTCAATTGAATATGTTTTCGCATGAACTTTGAAAATTGAAAATAATTATAGATTGTCAAACTGTTGAGCTTAATTAAAAGCTTATAGCTTAAAAATTAAAAATACATATTTTCACATATTCTTAGATTAGTTTCTGCGTGTATTTCGCTAGCGATAAGTTTCTTATTTTGCAGTCTAAAGTTACACAAATAGATAGTTTTCATGCAAATGGTAAATAGCATATAGTTTTTTTTTTTTAATTGTCTTTTGAACGCTTTTAAAGCTAGTTATTGGATAAGATATAACGAGGTTAGATGCAGTTAAATCTTATTTAGTTACTTCCTAAATGACAATTTTGACAGATGGACTTCGCATAAAATACTTCAGTCATCGACTCCTTTTTGAAGTTACGTTTTGAAAGTCACTGAATTGCAGTTTTAAAGTCACTATTCCAATATTCGAAATACTTTACATGAAACTGGCAACTTAAACATTTCTTAAGCGATTTCTATAACAAATTAGACTCCAACATATTATCTCTTTGATTACAACTTTAAGTCAGTTAAAAAATTTCTTTAAAATAATGCGAACTCGTCATTTTATTGTCATAGTTAATATATATTTAATTATATTAACTGTTAATATTCCATATGTTCAATAGCTCGAGAGCAGCTCGACAATTGAAATAATTTTTCTTGGCTTGTTCATCTCTACTCAGAAATCGAAATTTGCTCTTTGTATTGCTCTTGAAAAGATGGCTTTGACTTATGTATCAAAGCCACATCCTGTCAATTGAGTTGCTTGTACTGTTAGCAATTCGTGTTTCAAGTCAGTTCCTGAAAGTTTCTCGACTCGACCAGATCGAGCGGTTGTGCAAAATATTTCAGCGAATAATTAAATAATCTAAATGATATGAAATTAGTTCGTTTATGCAATTAACTCAGTTTTGTTAAGTTCTCAGTGAGGTAAATCAAGCTGATTTCGATAGATTTGTTTCGTGTTTGAGTGATTGTGAAATCGATTCCGTGTCGTTTTACAGCGTGAATAACAAAGCCCAAGAATGCGAGAAGCTGAAACAGGGACAATGAAAGAAATAAACGTATTCGAGCTTCCAATTTCGTCACTGCGAAGGTGATTCTGGCCAGCCAACGCCGGGTATTTTATTTTGGTCTTGAAAACGCGATTGTTTTAATTTTTGAGGCAAACAAAACAACTTTTCCGTTTGAGATTAGCGAAATTTGAATTGTTAAAGAATTGATAAAATCCATCCTATTGTCCGTTCATATACTTGTGTATCTCTGTATTTTTCTAAGCAAGCCTCGATCAAGTTTAAGTTTTACAAAGATCCTCTTCTACTCTACGTTAAATGAGCCGAGTTCATCGAATCGGAGTTGTTGTAAACACGCTATAGGCCAAAAAATTGAGTTCTAGCACAAGAATTTTATTTTATTTTGGCGATAAATGTGCAACCCAAAACTTAAAACACGTAGCTTTCTTAAGATCGATTGAGGATCGTAAATAAAATTGCTGCTAGAAAAATTTCTTAATGCCTATCATTGTTAGCCTTGACATCGGAACAGTATCGGAACTCCTTTTTTTTAAATATAAGTTTTATTGTCGAATAGCTCCGATCGAAAGAATCGATTGAATATTGAATGCAGAAGGAGATTTTATTTCCAAGAACATCTGCGTTCACTTCTCAGTTATAGTTTCTTTTATCTAAGTTTCTTAAGAAAGTAATTATGATAGTTATTTAAGTTAAGTTTTGGATAAGAGATGGTATTACGAACATAAAACAAAAGAGTTGTATACTTTTATGGCATGATAATTTCTGAAAGTCGAAACTTGAGCAATTTGAATGCACACGTGTTTACATTTATGGCACTTATTGAGCTAGGCTTAGAGTCAATATATCGGCCAGATTACCAGGCAGCCTGTCGGAGCTGAACATCTGTTCGGATTTTCAGCCTTATAGGCTCAGGTATCGAAATAAACCACCCACACACACACACCCACACCTACAACAGCTACACCGACCCAACCCAACCCAACCCAACCCAGCCAGCCAGCCAGCCACCCACACCCGACCAGGCAAATGTTTCGATTACCTGTGACCCGATCTCTCTGCCAACTTCACACTGTAGCTACATATATCTGCCTCTCTCTTTCGCACGCGTACAGTGGAAAAGTGCAAGCGCCGCTGGCGTCAGATTCGCAACGATTATGTCCGCTGGACGACATCGGACGAGCATCGTCACCGCAACGGGCTGAAGCGACCGGCTTTCTACTTGGCCGAGGAGCTTAAGTTCTTGAAGCCGCATCTGTCTCTGTCCGACGCAGGTGAGCAGGAGAGGGAATCGCCCGAGCCGAAGCGAGAGCGGGATAGCAAGAGCAAGAGCAAAGAGCCGACGCTCGATGAATATAAAGGCAAGAAAAAGGATATTACCGAAGCAGTGGAGGAGCAGCCGCTGGCTAAACTGAAACAGGCAGCTGCTGGCAATATGACCCCGGAGCCCGACACGAATAAACCAGATAAAGATAAATCAAAGATTAAGGAAGAAAACAAGCAGCAGCAGCAGCAGGAGAAGGAGAAGGAAGAGCAAACGGAGAAGCAGGACAAAGACAAGTCGAACGCCGCAGAAACGGACGAAGTTGCCAGCGAGGAGGAAAACAGCTCCCATCCCGACGACAAGGAGTTGTCAGAGGGCACTGCCACGCCCACAACATCATCACTAGGCTCGGTGGCCAGCTTCGCCGGGACCAGCAACAGCGCCGTTGCCAAACAGCCGGAGTTCTTCATCAAGCAAAGCAACACAAACTCCTCATCCAATTGCCTGATCATTGGCAAGAAGCCACCAGTCTCGCCGGCCACGGATCCGCTTTACGAGCAAATGGCCGAGGACAGTCCCGATGAGACCGCCAGCGTGGGCGGTGGCCGGCGCCTGCGTCGTGCGGCCAATCGCATCAAGCAGCTGCCCATCCAAAAGGCAGCCGCCGAGCAGCGTCTGACACGGCTGCAGCGCCGCAAATCCATGACCATTGCTGCGGCCAACAGCTTGCGCAGCTCCACCTCGCCCGTCAAGATGACCCCGGTGCCCCGGGCCAGTTTGCCGGCGAATGCGACCCAAGCGAAGACGCATGCGAAGGCCGTCAAGCCGTCACCGAAGCCAGCTCTGCCTAGCACACGGGATGACATATTTCCGCGTCCTCGTTCCACGGCACCGACGGCACAGCAGCTGGTGCTGGCCCGTCGACCAGGCCCTGTGCCTGGCCAGCAGCAACAACAGCAGCAGCAGCAGCAGCATCCACATTCTCAAGCCGGACAAACAACTCAAACTGTGCAGCCGCGTCATCATTTCGGTGTAGGTCGTCCGCCGGGTCCTGCCCGTCTCGCTGCAATGGCTGCTATAAACAAACGTCCACTGGCTACGCCGCCAGGACTGAGAGGCAACTTTGCCGGGCAGCGCGCCCCAGCGCCAGTCAACATCATGGAGAACTTCAAGCAGCCACCGACAGCCACGTCGAATTCGCAGCCTCAGCAGCAGCAACAGCAGCAGCAGCAACGTCTTGTGTCCAGCAGCAACACGTTGGTCATCAGCACCACGAACTGCGCCGCGAGCAGCAACAGCATAATGAGCAGCACTTCCAGTTCCACGCCCGGCTCGAGCTTTTCAACGCAAACGGCCTCGATCACGGCATCGCCCATTGTGAGCACAACTCCGCCGGTGCTGACCCTGATCAAGCGCTGCGAGCGCGGCAATCAGACGGAGTGCCAGGATATATTCTCGGACGAGCACTTTCTGGATATGGTGCGGCCGCAGATGAAGGAAATGAATCCGCGCCAGAAGATGCACTTCAAGCAGAAGATCTTTCAGGCCCTAATGGAGACCTTCGACGATGCCACCGACTTTCCCAACAGCGGCGAGGTCCAGCACTTCAATATTAATACGCCATCGGGCTTCGATCATGTCAGCGATGGCGAGTTGCGTCTCATCCGGGAGCTGGTCAGCATGGTGAGCGCGGCCAAGCATACCAGCGATCGAGCTGCCAGCAGCTGCCCCCCAGCTGCGAACACGCCCAATCAGCGCATGGCGGCCGGCAAGCCTCCAAGTGTTGTGCAGCGCATCTTTAGGCCAGCCCACGTGCAAGGAGCAACTGCCATTGGCGACGACAAGAAACTCTATCGCATACTCCAGATGAACAACCACACCAAGATCGTGGCCGGAGTCAATGCATCGGCTGCTCTGACGGGCGCTGCCGGGCGCAAGGACAGCATTGACAGCAATTCCAGTTCGAACACAATTCCGCTGACCAGCGGGCCCAGCCGTGTGGGCACCTTCATTGTGCCCGGCAGCAGTCCGAAGACACCGCGCGGCATCGTGGATCCCTTGGAGGAGCTTTTCAGCCATTCACCAGGCGCCTTTAGCAAAATGACGCCCACGGCTGCCACGTCCGGAATCTCCTCCAAGCCCGTTCTTGTGCGTCAAATGGGCAGGCGCTATTCGGTCTGCGGCGCCGGTGGTCCCAGCACAGCTCTCGCCTCCGCCTCCACCTCCCCCGCCGCGGCTGCCAATGCCGCCCAGCTGGAAGCTGCGCTGCTCAAGCGACGCATGGCGCCCGCCTCGCAGACCATGGTGCCGCCGCCGCAACGTCCACGCTACTCCCAGAGTCCCGTGGGCAGCAACCATATTGCCGCCATTGCTCCGGGGAATAGCTTGTTGATGCGCAGCGTCTCGTCCGGCGGCCAGAAGCAGCCATCGCCCACTGGGGGCGGTGCGGTGCCACAGAAAACGCCGCAGATTGCCAGTATTCAGGGCAGCGCCTTCAATGAGTTCGCCACGCCCACCTCGGTGCGCAGCGGCAACTCGTCTGGATCTGTCGGCAGCTCCGGCTCCACATCCATATCGCCGCTGAAGCGCAGCATGATCGTGGCCAATGTGAAGGGCAATGCGGGAGGCCAGCAGCAGAAGCCATCGGTGTCCACGGTGCGTTCACCATTGAGCGCCGCGCCCGTGCCGATCAAACAGTCGACGTCTCCGAGTGCAAATGTGGCCAATCTATTGGCCGATTCTCGTGCCCAATCCCACTCCCAATCCCAATCTCAATCCCAATCCCAGCCGCTGCCACGCCCCGCGGCCAGGCAGCAGGCCGGGCGCGAGGACTCCGAAATGGCGGGCATCATTGCGGCCGACGACTTCGACATGGGTCGCCTGAAGCGCGAGCCGCAGGACATTATGGATGACCAGGACGCCGATATACTGGGCATGTAGGTGCGCAGCATAAAAAGCAGCCAAAAAAAAAAAAACAATTGAAAATATACATTGAATTTGATAATTGCGTTTATTAGCCACAAACAAATGTGGAGTAATTTTTGTAACATTTAACATTTTATTGATTATTTACAATCTCTTATTTCATTTATACTTTCCATTTTTACATATTGTGTCTAAGCCATTTATTTGAGAGATTCGAATATTACAAAACTTCAGTCGTTGAAGACAAATAAAAACATTATTTTTTTTTTCAAAAATATAATATGAAAATAAAGTATTTACCTGTTAAGCGAAAAGCCGCTAAATCAAATTGTTTTGCTCGGGTTTCAAGGGTCGCACAGGTAGACGCAAGCCGAACCAAAGATCTCTAAATAGATTAGTAATAATAATAATAATAATAATAATAATGGAATAATAGAGTCCTTAAGCACGCGAACCACTTAAAGATTTCGTTTGATTTGATTTCTGTTTTCTTTACTTGAGCGAAAGAACCAATAAACAACTTTTGATTTTGTGTGAAGCACACGACAATATTTATATAGATGTTTATATGGCAGGCCAGATATTTCTGCCAGACGAGAGAATCTTATCTGAAGAGGCGCAGTAGGCAGCTTGTAAATTAAATATTGTATATATATAGATTTGATAAGGGCCGCGCATGTTGGCTATAAGAACAAATTCCCAGCTGGCTCGCACGTTTAGTTAACTGAAGAGATTCCACAATGAAATACCTGGCGATACTTGCTCTGCTGCTGCCCCTCGTCTATGGCGCTGCGGTGCCCCATTTACAGCTGCCCGATGCCGATCTGGTGCCGGACATGTCCACGGCCGAGGATGGCATGATGCTGGCCCCTGTGCCGGACATGTCGTTGGCCAGCGATGCCGTTGACACGCCCAGCAAGCGTCAGGTGCCGCCCTTCCGCTTCATGAGCGCCCAGCTGGCCAACGCCGACATTGACCAGGTGCCCGACATGTCTGTGGCCGCCGATGCCGAGGATAACGAGAGTAAGTTCCGTGCACGATTCGTGGCCAAGTTGCAACCGTTCTAACTGTGCATCATATCAGCCGTCAAGGTGGAGCCATTCCAGGCTGATGCTGATCTTGTGCCCGACATGTCCGTTGCCGCCGATGCTCTGGATCAGGGTGAGTTCTAAACCATCTTTCAAGTGCCCCCACACACTGAACCCCTCTCCCCAACAGTCGCCGACAATGCCGATCTGGTGCCCGACATGTCCGTGGCCAGCGATGCCGAGTAGAGGCCCGATCCCGCTCCCACCCCCCTACACCCAACTCACGTCTAATTTATAACTAACATACGTATCGTGTATTGTATTTTCTAAGTTTTTCTAGGCAGCATTAATAAATTTAAAAGGTTTAGCAAAAAAGCTGCGCTGATATGGCTGATAACGTTGAGTGCTTTGGGCACACTTTTTTTTTTTTTGTTTTTCCAATTATTTTTTAATCAAAAATGTGATATATTGCGAATTTCCCTCAATTATCTGTTAGCATAGTGGAATTGATAAGAAACGCTTGAGTTCTAACGAGGGGCAGTTTGATACAAAAAAAAAAAAACACAGTCACAAATTTGTGCTGTCTTAAATTGAGCTTTTTATTGCATTATTTGTTTATTTGCAGCTGATCTTAACTTTATATTATGCCTGTTCCAGTCGCACAACAAATTGCCCTCCATTTTGTTGGCCAATTACATTGAAAAAAATCAAATAAAATCTGATTAGTTTTGCGTCATGGTCGTAGGTTCGTTTGGGTTCCCGTTCAACTAACACAATTCGTGTTTATTTTTTCTCCACGGGTATTTGTCTGTTTTTGCTCTTCTCATTCGCCTTTGTGTTGGTGGCTATTAATAAAAAGGAATTAACGGCAAAAACCGGACCCACACAAAGTGCCTGCGATCCCAATGAGGCACATGACCATAAACAACAAGCCACCACATACATACATAGGTTAATGGCAAGGGGTGAGTGTCAGTGTGTGTGTGTGTGTGTCTAAGTGAGAGAGCGGCCTCCTCTCGGCATCTCCCTCTCTCTCTCTCACTCTTTGTTTTCGTTGTGATTTTCACACAAAAGCGCTAAAGCGGCTACTAAATTACGTGCTCATGTGTTCTAGTTTTAGAGGCAACCGACAAAGCGACGCGACATTCGCGACCACTCCCCCTCCGCCCACGCTGCTGCTTGCGGATAGGCCGCTGCATAAAAGACCAAAGCGCATTTGGTGCGCTAATGAACCGCAGCGGATCTGACCAGCAGCAAAAACCAGAACCAGAACCAGAACCAGAACTGGACCAGACGCGGAGTCGACGGTTCAACTACCTTTTGCCGCATATTCAAAACGTAAAAATACCGTTTAAAAGTGTAACAATGCTGTTAACCATTGCAGGCTCGTGCCAGAAGCGATGGATGTGCGGCTGCGGGTGGGGGGTGGGGGGTGCGGGGTGGCACTCGACTGGCCGTCGTGTTGGCGCTCTAACAAAAGCCGCTTTATTAAACTGGATGTGTGCGATATATGTATGTGTGTGTGTGTGTGTGTTATTTTTTGTACATAAGTAGGGGTCAGATGTTGGGAAGGGTTAGCCAGATCAAGCAATTTATTATCTGATGTGTGAGCTCATTAAATTTAAATCTTTAAAGTTTTCTTATAGATCAAATAAGTTAGCAACCGTTATCGGTTAATATACATACAAAAAAGTGTATGTATGTATGTGTGTATATGCGATCGTATCTGTTTACGCAGGCAAACGCAATATAACTGTTCCTTGAGTCCCATTCATATTAAACAATGCCTCTGCTAACACGACTCTCTCTCTCTCTCTTTGACCAACCTCCTCAATGCTCTTACTCGCTCTTAGTTTTCGCCCTTCTTTGCGTTACGCGTTCATTCAAGTCAAGCAAAGTAACTGCTCGATTTTCTGCAGATCCTCTTTAGTATCAAAGATGCTATTCATAAAGTTTCTATTTAACTGCAAGCATACAAAAATCTGAATTAAAGCACAATAATTGCAAACCGCTTTGACTGTAGTCCGATTTCGATTGTGTTAGTGTGTGTGTGTGTGTGCGTGCCTTTTTATCTACTTATTGGCGGTTTACTTATTTCTTTATATTCGTGTCCGGCAAAAAAAAAGTTGCACAGAAAGTTCAAAGGCAAAAGGCATTGCAGAAAGCAAAGTTAAGTTTCGTTAAGGAAACGAAATGAAATTTCTTCGGCAGCGCCGCTCAGAACTAAAAGTGAAGCGATATGCATAACAACAAAAGTTCAGCCTCCGCGCCCCCTTCCTTCCGCCGGAGCAGCGCGGCAAGTAAATGAAGGCAGCGCCGTTGACGCCAGCAGCGAAATAAATGAAAATGCAAAAGTGGACGAAGTAAAAAGTTTTGTAATATGCAAGCGCAGCGAGTGATTCTGCGGGGGACGCAGACAAGAAGCAAAGAGCAGAGAGCAGAGAGCAGTGCAGCAACAGCTGCAGTCACAGCAAATCAACAATTGCGAAGAGTGCAAATAAAACGTAACGGGAGCAATGTGAACAACTACAGAGAAGAGATTAAGAGCAGGCAGCCGCTGTTGTGCCAGGTTTAGTATTCCATTCATTAATTCAAATTTCGAGTAGACCATGTCTATATATACATATGTATGTATGTATGTGTATATGCAAGCAAGTGTGCGGTGCATCGCGATCAATAAGTATACGATTATCAGAGCATCTGTGCAATACCCAAAACCTTTCTTCACTAACAATATGCTTATGACTTGTTTTCATTTGACTCTCGATAAGATAAGTCCAAAGAATAGCAACAAGAAGCAAGAGACAATGAGAACGCGATGACAATAGGGTAAAGGAAGAGAGCAGTCAAACAGCTCTAGCGGGTTGTAGTGCAGCTCGCAAACAATAGATGGCGCCACAGTGGCTAAGCAAAAAGAAAAGACACACATTCTACGTAACGCGCGAAATTCGAAACTTTTTCTAGCTAAACAAAAATAAAATATCAAACCATGTTTTGACAATCTTATGACCTGATGCAGGTCGACAGCAGGAACTTTGTGGCTAAGTAGAGACATGCCAAACTGACGCATAACAGTCCAAAGTGACCACCCCCCCCCCCCCCCCCCGCGCGCTCTCACACGATTAGTTTAAATGGCAAAAACAACAACCACAACGGTCGACTGCTGTTGTCAATTTACTGCTATGTCATTTTGACAGCCCCGACCAGAGCGAGCGAAAAAAAAAAATGACAAAAAATTGCATAGAAGAGGAAATCCAGACACAAATACATGCATACATGTGCAAGTAGCATGAGGGGTGATTTAAGTGTATTTGATTTATGACAAGAGCACAAGAACAGAAAAAAAGGCAAATGGACAATGGCAATATCCGAAATTCAGTTAAGTGCTGTAAACCGCTTGAAATCAAATAAAAGTATTTGATTGCCTTTGCTAATAAGCGCTTTGTGCGGCCGCTAGCCGTCAGATGGCGCCCCTGCTCATTATGAGTGTGAAAAAAAAACACTTACAGGTCTGACAAAACACGTTTTAGCTTTTCCTTCTCACACTTTTTTTTTTTTTGCCCGCACATCTTCCATTTTTGGCGAGTCGTGACGGGGTGTCGTCCGCTGCTTGTATAAGATACGTTTTATGGCTTACTGTTAAACTGCGAGTGTGAAGAGGGAGGGGGCGATGAAAAACAATATGGCGGCATGCTGTTAGCGTGATTACAGCTGTTATTGTTTCCGGTCGTGTTGTTCTTGTAGTTTTTGCACTTTAGATTAAACATAACGTGAGGCTGTTAACTTTTATGACAACATTGGGCCAACTGTGCGGGAAATTATCAATGAAAATTGTCAAATATGAATTCTCGAGTAAAACAAGATACATTCTGTAAATAAGGGAGAGTAAATATGAGTTGCTATCCTTTGAGTTTTTTTTTTTTTCAACGCACAACAATATAATAACAATGGCTGTCAAGATAGCACCACAGCAGCCACTTATTAATAAACTTAAATATTGCTGATCTCATTTATCATTGTGGCACCCGCTCTTGACTTTAATCAACATTCATTTGAATAATCCCATAGAAAATAATGTTCGTGTCTCATGAATTTTGCATAAAATGCGACATTAAGTAAATAAATCAATTCCACACCGCAAACTTAAATGTCATTCAACAATAATAAATAAACACAACACAATGCAATACGACACACAACCGCACCGAAACAAACGGCAAAAGAAGTACATTAATAAATAAATAAAAAAAAAAAATAAAAATAAATAAAAATAAAAAATTGAAATCACACGCAAATTGCGCAAAAATACGAATAATAAAAATAAGCGCCTGTCAAAAAGAGAAACGGCAACGATTTTCCCATAAAAAATAAATTATTTTCCCATAGAAAATATAATTTTTTGCTTTTTATGGTATTAACCATTTTCGTGACCCAACGAGGCGACGCGACGATTGCTGAGGACGATTCATTTTCGTGTGGGTGCATTTTGGCTATTTTTTATTTTGGCTGGCAAAAATAAATTTAATTAGCTAACGATTGGTCGCAGCGTGCCTGCTGCAAAGTGAGAGCGAGGGGGGGGGGGGGGGGTGGGTGGCCAAGAGCAGGGGGCGCGCAAAGTTCAGCTGCTGCTTTGACATTTGGCGTTTCTACAGGCGGCAGCAGCAAACGTGATTGTCTCTCTCTCACTCTCTCTCTCTCTCTCTCGCTCCAACTTGCTTGATGCAGCTTTGCCGTTTTCTTATGCTTTGCGATAGCAGTAAATATTTTGTTCGACTCGGTGTGCAAAATTTGCACCGCATCAAAATTTGACTCTAAGGCGTAAGTGTAAAAGTGAAATGAGTGCGATTCGCTGCTGGCTGTGTAATTTGCCAGCATTAGCAATTGGGGCCATAAAAATTGAGTTGTAAATTTTATTCGTTTCGTCTTTGGCATTTTTTCACACTTAGCAGCAAATGGCTTATGTTTTGTGTGTGGAAGAGCAAAAGAGAGATGGGGAGAGTGCGTGCGCTTTGAGTGCAAATGAGTTGAGTTCTTAGTGAGTGATAATGTGTGGGATTTAATTGTGAGCTGCGCAGTTATGGTGCTTCCCAATTAGAAAATCGAATTGGATGCCAACAGGAAATGCTTGCGGACACATGTGTGTGCCTGTGGGTTCAGTTGCATGGGTTTCTGGCAAATTTCAAGTTGAATTTGATAACATTATTGTCTCTTTTTGAGCTTATCTACAGAAAAGCCGGCACATACGCAACTGTGCATGTACTTATCAATGTCGTTGCAGCTGTGCTGCCAAAAACACATTCTGTCCAGCAAGCTACAGCAAGACTTAAACACAAACTCACACACACACACACAGATGTCACTCAATTAACATCGGCCAACAAATGCAGACACTGTCCAACACTGTCCAAACGATAACCAGGGCTAAGGAATGCATGTGTGGCAGGCAGGGAAGAGTTTGGGCTTGGCTTGCACCTGCATGTGTGTGTGTGTGTGTGTGTGTGTGTGTGAGTGTTGCAAGGGAAAATTGCAGAGTTTCCAACTGAGTGGCAGAAAATGTTGCCCCAACCTTTGCTGGCTTCAGTGCCTGAAATTATGGCAAAAGGTAATTCGAAACAGGCCGGATTCTACCTTATTGATGCAGCTGCTGCAATTCAATCCTTTTGGAAACCTTCAAACAATGCTGTGCAGAAGGCACTTTGTTCCTGCCACGCCTCCAACCCCCTAGCTTCCTCCCTCCGCACACCATACAATTGTCGATAAGTTGCCATGGTGCAGTCAATTAAGCCAGGTCTCATTCCCTTCGAGCCCCGCTCGTGTTTACCTACGCAAAAGCTTCGTGTTCGTGTTCGTGTTCGTTGTACATAAGTCGTGCTCTTTATGGCACATCCGGTCGAGCACATCCGCATCCTGTCGGGGCAGCTGTTTAGCCAACTTATTTATGCCACTTGCTGACACTTAATGCCCCCAATGCCACACCCACACCCACACACACAGACACACACACACACACTAGTTAGTTCTTTGTTTTTAATTTGGCTCCAAGGAGCTGTGTGAAATTCCTTTGGCAAAATGAAAATTCCTTTGGAAGGTATGTTTATATTATTGTGAATAGTTTACAGGATATATGCACATGCAGAAGCCGAGCGGAGTTCGTTGTTCGTCTGTCTGGCAACAAAATATTTCCGCAGTTGCATTAACGCTTTTCACTCCGACGCCTCCGCCTCTGCCTCTGCCGCCGCCCCGTCTGGAATTTATTGTCGCCGTTGTCCTGGCCAATGCACCTGAACAGCTCCCAATAAAATGTCCTGCCAATGCTGTCGGTACTGTTTGGCGCATAATTAAACCCATTTGTTGCCGGTTTCGAATTCGCAGAGGTCGCCGAGGTCGATTTATTGCATTTTCCAGTTGGTCTGTATTGAAAATGCGGAAATTTATGTGGGCGTGGCAGGCGAAACATAGAAGTACGTTAATTTATAAGCCAATAAATTGGCGGAGAGCATTAGAAGTTGATGTCGAGGGAAAATCAATTACCCAAAACTTGCCAAGTTTTCAGAACATGCAATTGAAAACTATCTCGACTTTCTTTTTTCACACGAAGATTAACGAGACATTTGGGGATTATCTTTGAAGAATCCAGCATTATCTTCGCACAACAACTTTTTGTGTGCCATTTGTTATTTGTGCTTTTATTATTCCACATTAAGTTTCACCCATTTTCCACTGATTTGCATGAAATGTCTCTGCTCAGAAATACCAAATTAAGCCGCACATTTTTCAGCATTTTTTAGCGCATTTATCGTAGATTTTTCTACAAATCTACTCGCTCGCATTCCCATCTCATCTATAACAGTATTCAGAACATTTTCAATCAGCTTTCCACTCCAGCTGGATTTCATTTCCCAAGTCCACGTAATTAGTGTTGTAATTTGTCTGCTGTTCAAAGTTTTCTCCGCTTGAGTCTGGGCCTGCAGCCAAGTGTGTGCCACCCACATTTGGCCACATTCATTAACACGTTTGTGCCATTTTTTGTTGTTGTTGTTGTTGATGTTGTTTTCTTTTTTTTTTGGTCTACAAGTTTTGTAAATACTTTAAATACGGCCAGTGCATACGGCTTTGCCTGCTCGTTCTGCTGCTTTTGGAAACGAATCTGCAGCAATTTACGCAATCAACTACAACTTTCCCTGCTTGGCCTAACCCTTGTCCCTGAGGGCAACTCTTACACTCAGCTACAAAATAACGCAATTCTGGTACAATTTTAAAGCCCATTAGCTTGCTACTGCAACTAATTGGTTTCCGTATTTTGTTTTCTAGTGTATTTGAATATTAAAAAGAAGAAGATTTTATAAATGGCTGCACTCTTGTTATTTATTTATCATTTACACACAATACGCACAACAGTTGCCAATCCTACGCAGACATTGTTCATTTGTCTATTTCTATTTCACTCTCTCTCTCTTTCTCTCTCTTGCTCTCGCTCTCTCTCTCGCGCTCTCTCTCTTTCGTGTGCCTGACCACGTAATGGAAAACTTTCGGTGTGTCCAGCCCTAAAACTTTTGGCCCACATAAATCCTGCTAATCGCTTTTGCTATACCAAAAGCTGGCTGCTGTGAAACTCTGTCCGTAACCCGAAACTCATTTGCATTTATCTGCTGTCTGTTTCGTTTACGTCTCCCCCTCTCTCTCCCTCTCTCTCCCTCTTTCTCCCTCTCTCTCTGTGTCGCCTGCTGACATTGCTCCCGTGTGTGTTTTTGGCTAATTGCTGTGCCTGTTGCTAATTGTTTTTGTTGCTGTACTGCTTGATCCTTGGCAACACTTTTTTCATTCATTTTCAACACTAGTTTTTTCTTCTTCTTCTCGCTTGCGGCCATTTTGCGTTTAATGATGAATGTTGAGCAACTTTTCGGCCCCCTCTCAGAACTTTGTTTGAAGGGATCCTGCAACTAATTTCCGTTTTGCAACTCGTTATTCACACGCTTTCAGCTAGCGTGCGACCAAGCAAACAAATTTAAAAAAAAAAGGACACAAAAGTAACAACAACAACAACAACAACAACAACAATAGCGCTGACAGCAACAGCAGCCTTCAAATCTTTTGGAAACAACCAAATAAAAAATTACATAAAAATAAAAGACAATGCGTACAAATTACCCAAACAACAAATAAAACAACAAACAACAACAATTGCAAAGCTGTCGCTGACAACAACAACAACAGCAACAACAACAACAACTGAGAAATATGCACACTGACACTTTACGAAGATTTATGCGTTTTAGTTGAGTTCTGTTCCGCAGCGAGTTCTTCTCCAAGCGAGCGGAGCCATTTTTTGCACTGCTTTTCACGCTTTGTCAGTCAGCCCCCGGGCACGCCCCCTTTTTTTTGGTGTTAATTCCGAAACTGGATTGTTAGCGGGGAGTAAAAGTCATTTAAATTAAACATAATACAATAAATTGTTAAAAGGAAAGGTCTCGCAGTTAAAACAGTTTGACAGCAGCGGATATTCAACGATAATTTTGTGTGGGAAGCTAAACAATATTCAAGGATTTCTGTTTAAAATTCGACTCTTCATTCTGGAACATATTAGCTACTTTTCGGATTATACATAAAATATTCAAGTATTTTTAAATATTTAATGATGAGAAAACATTATAGTTGCTAACAATTTGTATATAAAACAGGAGGCCCTAGTCAGGAGT